AAAGAGACAGAAAGAGACAGAAAGAGACAGAAAGAAAGAGAAAGAGACAGAAAGAGAAAGAAAGAGAAAGAAAGAGAAAGAAAGAAAGAGAAAGAAAGAAAGAAAAAGAAAGAAAGAGGGAAGAGAGAAAGAGAGAAAGAAAAAGAAAGAAAGAGAGAAAAAGAGAGAAGGAAAAAGAGAGAAAAAGAAAGAGACAGAAAGAGACAGAAAGAGACAGAAAGAGACAGAAAGAAAGAGAAAGAGACAGAAAGAGAAAGAAAGAGAAAGAAAGAGAAAGAAAGAAAGAGAAAGAAAGAAAGAAAAAGAAAGAAAGAGGGAAGAGAGAAAGAGAGAAAGAAAAAGAAAGAGAGAAAGAAAAACAGAAAGAAAGAAAAGAAAGAAAAAGTAAGATGGAAGGAAGTAAGGAAAGAAAGAAAAAGAAAAGAAAGAGAAAAAAGAAAAAGAGAGAGAAAAGAGAGAAAGAGAGAAAGAGAGAAAGAAAAAGAAAGAGAGAAAGAAAAACAGGAAGAAAGAAAAGAAAGAAAAAGTAAGATGGAAGGAAGTAAGGAAAGAAAGAAAAAGAAAAGAAAGAGAAAAAAGAAAAAGAGAGAGAAAAGAGAGAAAGAGAGAAAGAGAGAAAGAAAAAGAAAGAAAAGAAAGAAAAGAAAGAAAAGAAAGAAAAGAAAGAAAAGAGAAAAAAAACAAAAGAAAAGAAAGAAAAGAAAAATTAAGATGGAACAAAGGAAGGAAAGAAAAAGAAAACAAGGGGAAAAAAGAAAAAGAGAAAGAAAGAAAGAAAGAAAGAAAGAAAGAAAGAAAGAAAGAAGAAAGAAAAAAAAGGAAAAGAGAAGAGAAATCGTTTGGGGAAGTGCGGCTGGCACTGTGACTGAAGGAGCAGAAGTGGTGTAGCATCTGAGGCTGGCACTTACCCATGACCGTCCTTAACAGATGCTCTACGGGAAAAAAAATACGGGAGAACGCACGAGGCAGCGGAAGAGAACAGAGCACAACAATTAGCACCAGCAGAGTCCAGGGATGCTGTCCCTACAGCCAAGCAGGGCAGGAGGACAACACGAGGGGACTGGAAGGATATCCCCCTTTGGGGGGCAGGAGACTCCTCTCCCACGTCTCTACTGACCAAGGAAGGGCGATGCCCACAGTAAATTCACAAGCTTAGGAGAAAGAGAAGGTGGCACGGGCAACCGGAGGACAGACGGACAGGCCTCAACAAAGAAAGGCAATCGATCTATTGGGGAGAGGGGTTTGCAGAATACGGTTTTAAAACATCTGAAAGGCGCATAAAAAGTAGGCGGAGTTTGGAAGTGGCCAGCATCTTGATGTCTTTCACTACAACCTCTAAAGACCTCTACCCCAGCTACATGGTTCTTCAGAGGTATATTGTCCCTGAGATTGTCTCCCAAGGACGTCCGTGCAACTTTGGAAGTAGTGGGAGATGGTCAGCCCCATTTCAAGATGGCTGGGGTCTGTCTGGCCCAGGGTCCTGGGTCGGCTGCCCACTGGAGGAGTTCATACGAGGCTGGAGGCAACCATGAAGAAGTCAACATGGATCTCCTTTAGCAGAGGCATGTGCATTTGTTTATGGGAAGGTGCCATGAAATACCTGGCCCTTCCCCGGTTTCTCCTACCCCCCAAACTCACTCACCTTGCTCCTTCTTGAATTCGTTTTCGCTCATGAACACTGGAGCCATAAGCTCCCCAACGGGTGATTGGATGGACAGGTAGAACTGGCGGGTGTGTGTGCTGGAGACAGAAAAACACAGCAGCCAAACTGAGCCAAACATTTGCAGGGTCTTCAGAGAAATTGAATTAGTTGCCAAATCAACACTAAAACTCTGCAATTCGTCTCTTACGCCAGCTGTTTTTCCCTTCCTATTCTCATAGGCTCTTTCGTCCCTCTGCTGCGGCTCCCTGCCACAGGTTGGCTCCACAATTGATAGGGCTTTCAGTTAGGACAGGGGGAGGAAAAAGGATGCCACGCTAGGAGGAGACTCTATGGTGGGGGGAACTGGACTTCTGGTCAGCAGAGGAAAAAGGATGCCATGCTAGGAGGAGACTCTATGGTGGGGGAACCNAGCAGGCTGCTGCTCTGAGAAGTAAACTAGCAGTCTGTCTGGGCCTGGGTGCTGAAATGAAACTAACTGCTTGTGTGTTTGCCTGTAACTCTCCTGCCTCGTGTTTACTTGGAGAAACCACCTGTTGGTATTGTACATTTATTCATCTATTCTTATGTATATAAAGAAGTTAATGAATCCTGCTGCACATGTTATCTGTGTGTGCTTTCTGGATTTGAAGCTCTGATACTTTCCAAATGTACGGACTTCAAATCCTTAGAAGTTTCCAGCCCACACAGCCATTGTTAAAGATTTGAGAAGTTTAAATCCATACATCTACCAAGTGCCCAGACTAGGGGAAGCTTGATTAAAAAGTAATTAAAAGGTACCCCAGGGGAATAGTCCTAGAGAAGGATGAAGAGGAAGAGGGAAAGGTTAAGGAGGAGGCTCAGAAGGAGGGTTGGGTGAGGGATGCTTACAGTCATCCAGATCAAGCAGAGAGATCTCCTTTGATCCTTTCTTGGGTGCTTTCGGAGGTGGTTTCCTGCTGGAAAGCTGAAAGAGAAAAGATGAAAGGAAACGGAAGTCAGAGATGGAACTACGACTCCAGGCAGGCCTGATGGGGTTGGGAATTATAGAGGCTCCAAACAGCAAATGAAGTTAGATTACACTGGAGACGTGCTCAGTCAGAGAGTTAAATAATATGTTTTTAAATGTATTTATTTGCTTCTATCCCATCTTTATTATTTTTATAAATAACTCAATGCAGTGAACATATAAAATGTTCCCTCCACTTCCACACAACAACCCTGTAAGGTAGGTTGGGCTGAGAGAGGGACTGTCCCAAAGTTACCCATCTGGCTGTCATGGCTAAGGTGGGACTAGAACTCACAGCCACTTGGTGATTGGCTCAAGGCTCCTCCATCTGATTTTCATGCCTAAGGCGGGGTTAGAACTCATAGTCTCCTGGTGATTCGCTCAAGGCCCCCCATCTGACCTTCATCCCTAAGGCGGGACTAGAACTCACAGTCTCCTGTGATTGGCTAAAAGTCATCCAGCTGGCTTTCATCCCTAAGGTGGGACTAGAACTCACAATCTCCTGGTGATTGGCCCAAGGCCCCCTATCAGACTTTCATCCCTAAGGCGGGGTTAGAACTCACAGTCTCCTGGTGATTGGCTAAAAGTCACCCAGCTGGCTTTCATCCCTAAGGTGGGACTAGAACTCACAATCTCCTGGTGATTGGCCCAAGGCCCCCTATCAGACTTTCATCCCTAAGGCGGGGTTAGAACTCACGGTCTCCTGGTGATTGGCTAAAAGTCATCCAGCTGGCTTTCATCCCTAAGGGCACTAGAACTCACAATCTCCTGGTGATTGGCCCAAGGCCCCCTATCAGACTTTCATC